CACCTGTATGTTTCGCAACGAAACACACCTGGCTGCGACGAGCCACGCAAGGTACACCCTGCCGGTCCGCTCTCGCCCTCTCTGGTGCTGCATATTGAACCGACCAGGCAAACTGATCGCTTGATCTCGACGTGAATGAAGTATCAGCGACTGCTCCTAGCTCTCGCTGAGCAATCGACCCGAACTCAACACAGGCGGACCCGAAGTCCACGGCAACCAGACGGTCCCCACGGAACACGTAGTTGTCCGGCTTGACATCGCCCCACACGATCCCAAGGCTGTGCAGAGCCACCACCACCTGGAATAATGCAAAGGCACGAAGAGTAAAGGTGTGTTCCATCACTACCGTAGCAGAATACATGCGTGTTCCTCACTTGCTCGCTCACATATGAGCCGCGATAGAGCGTTAAAAAGCTCCTCAACGCCAGCGCATCTACCTGACAGGCTTGTTGTCCCCACAACGCAAGATGAGTGTTCCGCTCAGAAGGCGGTAGTCTTTTCGATTCCTCCACCCGCGCCGTGAGGTTCTGACCCCCTTCTTCCATGGCGATGAAGTTGTACTCAGGCGTGCTGTAGGCCTCCAGTAGTTGGACCACAAACCCTGCCGCTGCTCCCCCCGGTCTACTGAGATATTGAAGGACGCGGCTCTCTCGGAGGTAGGCCCCGGGTTGGTCCTTGTCGGAACGCTTAAGAACCACAGGTCTCGTTGCCGTTGATTCCGGCCCACCGATGAGCTGGTTGGCTGTGAAAACAGTTGCCATTCCACCCTGGTCACGCAGCTGCATGAGGTTCACGAACCCGGTGCCGGCATTCGCCGTGGATGAAGTAACACCGAAGACATCTGGCTTCGAGCGGAGGGTCTGCATGACTGCCATGAAAATTCCAGCCTCGTACCTGGCGAACAGTGAATCACACCAAGGCAAATACACGCGCAAAGGAAGGGCGGGGACTACGGCTTGAATTAAAATGAGCTTGAATCGGTGTGTCTGAAACGCTCACGTTCGAACGCACCTTTCTTGCCATACCACAACACTAAAGATATCTGGTAAGATGCTCACTTGTTCATGTTCAGGTCGACAACCAATTGCTGCTGCGCTTCCCTCTCTTGAACTTTGAGAGCATGGGTGCTGCTGATTCCCAGTCCCTCGAGGCCGGAGCAGAAACGGGACGCTTGGGCATCGTTGAAGTGCGCTTCCATTTTGAGCCAACGGCCCATTGGAGTGTGCAGAGCTTGCTGCTGTTGAAGAGCTGCTTTTTCGAGCGCAGCTTCTTCCAACCGTCGCCGCTCGGTCTCCGCTTTCGCAGCAGCGTCGTTCTTCCGCGCCAATGCCTCCGCCTCCTCAAGTTCCTTGGTCTTGCGCTCCTCCTGGCGGCGCCGTTCCTCTGCCGCGGACTGGCGGCGCCGTTCCTCTGCCGCGGATTCAGCGCGCTGCCGTGCTTCGATGAGTGCTGTTTCCGCTTCGACGCGGCGACGGTCTTCGTCCTCCTGCGCGAAATGAAAATGTGGAATAGTGCGTAGGAATCGTCAATCTCAAAACACTTTTCATGACACAGCGGTTGCTCCAGCATCTCCAATCGCGTCAACGCAAACAACACAATGGACAAGCTCGTGAACGAGGCACTGCATAACGCGCTTTCATTACCCACGCGCAGCAAAAGCGACGTGAGTGCTGAGTTATCACTCTCCACGTTCTGGACAACTGTGAACTTGAGTAAAGCATGACGGTTGAACCGGAATAACGGCAATACCCTCCGCGGAGACAATCAAGTACCCTGCACGCGCAGTCTTTCTGTACAGAGGACATGCGAACCCCATGTTCCTACATAACATACCTTGCGCCTCCTGCGCCATGCTTCCATGACAAGAGAAGCCAGCACATCAGGCATCTCCACCTTTCCAAGTACGCCCTCCAGGGTTTCCTTGTCTATCGCGAAGATTGCCTTGGGATTATCAAGATGGCAAGCGCGGATACTGGCGCCGAAGACCGCCGAACTTCTACCGTCGAAGCCGAGATCTTGGTGCAGCCAACGACCAACGTCCCCAGATTGCCTTTCAAGTTCCTGTTCGGCCCGTTCCCGCTCGGCCCGTTCCTGCTCGGCCCGTTCCTGCTCGGCCCGTTCCTGCTCGGCCCGTTCCTGCTCGGCCCGTTCCTGCTCGGCCCGTTCCTGCTCGGCCCGTTCCTGCTCGGCCCGTTCCTGCTCGGCCCGTTCCTGCTCGGCCCGTTCCTGCTCGGCCCGTTCCTGCTCGGCCCGTTCCTGCTCGGCCCGTTCCTGCTCGGCCCGTTCCTGCTCGGCCCGTTCCTGCTCGGCCCGTTCCTGCTCGGCCCGTTCCTGCTCGGCCCGTTCCTGCTCGGCCCGTTCCTGCTCGGCCCGTTCCTGCTCGGCCCGTTCCTGCTCGGCCCGTTCCTGCTCGGCCCGTTCCTGCTCGGCCCGTTCCTGCTCGGCCCGTTCCTGCTCGGCCCGTTCCTGCTCGGCCCGTTCCGGCTCGGCCCGTTCCTGCTCGGCCCGTTCCGGCTCGGCCAGTTCCTGCTCGGCCCGTTCCTGCTCGGCCAACCTCGTCCGCAGCCTGGTTTTCCACTCCGCAAGTGATTCGTTCGTCCCAGGTCCTCCTGCAAGAGCGGGAGGGAAACTTGTCGCCGATTGTAACACTCTCGCATTTTATCACGTCCTCAGCAGGTGCACACGGTGCTCGACTATGCCAAACGCTATCTCGACATTAACATTTTGTGTTCGCTGTAGGTCTCACTCGTGAGGTTGGAATACCTTACCTCAGGGCGGGTTGGAAATGTCGGCATATTAAGTTACAGTACTCGCTACAACACGTGCAGGTTTGGGTACTACGATAGAGGGCTTTGTTTGGGAGTACTCAGCACTCGATACGGATCTACGGAGATCGAGGGGGTTTTTCGTGTATCATTGGGGATACGTAATTGTGGAGGGGCGGTCCCCCTTCTGCGTGCATGGGCAAGCATGCCCTGCGCACTCGTTACTACTAAGGTCTTGAGTCAATCGTCTCTTCTCTGCGCTTGTGACAACAAGCTGCCGGCTTCCAAGTACAATCGATCGGGCCTGGTTGAGTGCAGCCGGTAGGAGCGTACGATATACAAGGGCGCTTCGCGGCGTACCGCTTCGCGGTCGCCGCTACGCTCGTATGTTGTATGCCGATGGCAAGTGTGTGCTGGTTGAGTTTTGAAATGGGAGGAACGAAGGAGAAGTGTTGTGAAAAGAACAAAGAAGCGTTGTTGTGAACAGGAAAAAGTGTTTCTTCTCATTTGTTAGAGAGCGGAGACGCACAATGAATTAAGTCATAGTGATGCGACGGCCGGAGGACAGAGTAATTCAATAAGAAATTGTTTGTTAAGGAACAATGGCTCGCTTCTCTCTCCCTTACCCCCTCTCCTATGTGTGCTACCCCCCCCCTCCCTCCGCGGGACGGTACAGCCAGCCGAACAAATTTTGCTTGTAGGGTGTGTTCATCGCATGTACAGCGGTCGGTGGTGAGAACCGGCGTTGAGTGCGGGAGGCGAGGGAAGCAGCCGCGCAAATCATGTTAGCTTGCTTAGCACGTTTTGAGTGTGCGTGTGTTTTCGTCCTACTTATTTAATACGGCGANCCCTTACCCCCTCTCCTATGTGTGCTACCCCCCCCCTCCCTCCGCGGGACGGTACAGCCAGCCGAACAAATTTTGCTTGTAGGGTGTGTTCATCGCATGTACAGCGGTCGGTGGTGAGAACCGGCGTTGAGTGCGGGAGGCGAGGGAAGCAGCCGCGCAAATCATGTTAGCTTGTTTAGCACGTTTTGAGTGTGCGTGTGTTTTCGTCCTACTTATTTAATACGGCGACAGTCCCCCCGTTTTTCGTGGTAAGACATGTACCACACTTTTCAGTGTATGCACTAAACATATCAGTGAATGTAGAGTACTACACTTTTCAGTGCATTTTTCGTACAACTACAACCATCCAGGGTCACGCAGGAGAGGGTAAACACCAGAATCTTTTTCTTCTTTATGTTTATTTTCGTGCCCAACCTTCCTTCTGCGGTGCGTGCTGAGTAAAAGCGAAAAAAACAAGCAAAGAACAGAAATACGGAGAATTTTTCTGAAACAACAACGCATCAGGAGTTTTTTTTTTTTTTTGTCTCGGACGGGATAGTTTTGCTCAGCAGCTGTGCGCACGACACCGACCGCTGACCCCCCCCCCGCTTTCTTTTTCGTCGGGATCGAAAAAGAGACGCACTACAGCAGCAGAGTGCTTTGTCTCATGCCTGCAGAGACTTCGTTGCTTGGTTGTCGCGTGTGGCGAGGGTGTGTAGCCAGCGCACACGTACCACGGCCAGCCGCTTGCCGAATGCATGACTGGCCTGCGCTGCTGTCAAGAAATCGGGGTCTGATTGGTGGAGTCATGGTCGATCTCAGAGACGCAACTTTCTGCCCTCGATAGCGCTTGGCGACGGCTGCCACGTGAGCGAGCCGCCCACGGGCGAGGCGCTCGCGGCCCAGGGCTACCGGCAGGCGCGAATCCCGCGGCGAAAGGAGGTGTAGGGGCGGAGAAACCGTGAAAAAAGGGCTCTAGACTCACGAGAGCATCAGAATCGGAAATGCTGCAATCTCGTGAGCCCTCAGCCCGTAGGAAATCCGTCCGTAGGTCTTTTGCGGCGAGACATGCTAATTCCGAGACGTGCTACAGCATATAACAGCCCGCGGGGAGCCACGGCCTCAACTGAAGCCCATTTCTTTTCATTTTCCCGGGGGGGAAGTTGTAAAGACGTGTGTAGGGTGAGAGAGCCAGGGGATGGAGAAGGAGAAGGATGGGCGTCAACACCCTGACATGTCTTCCCATGCATGTGTGTGTCTGGAAAAGGAACATGTATGTACAAACCATGTTCAGACGGTATTGGGTGAAGGACTCGCAAGTCGCGAAGCAAACGCTAGCTAGCGCGAGTGAGCGCTGCCGTGCGACGGCAGGGACAGACCGAGGTCAGTCCCGAATGGGTCATGGCCGGCCGGTGTCGCTGACTTTGTGTGGTCCAGTCAGTCTCGAAATTGTCCAAGCGAACTCTATGCTGAGATGTTGAGTAACAAACCTGTGGTCCACAAGTACATGCTGAAATGCTGACTACTGTGTGTGGTCCACAGTCAGTCTGGAAAACGACTCGACGCCAACAGGAAAAGGAGAGCCGCGAAGGCGACAAGCAGGGCTTACATGATCCCTGCAGTCTTTGGTGTGTGCGACAGACGGGAAGTCAAGGCGTATGACCGGTACACCCACCATGGTTGGCAGTCGAATAGCGTATCGACACAAGTCATGGCTGACAGCGGATGCGCCCTGCCACGAGATTCGAATGCCACTGTCTGCTGACTGTGGTCCTCAGCAGTCAGTATGCAAGGAAAACATAAATACGTCCAACCTAAATGGTACCTAAGCTACATAGTACCTGGTTGATGCACATCCTGATGAGGTGAATTGACCTCTTGTATGATGTGTGCCATGTGTACGAAGGGCAAGAGGAGAAAATGCTGACATCTGCATACATACATCATGCTGACTGTGTATGGTCCACAGTCAGTCTGGAAATTGCACAAGCCAACTGTATGCCGAGATGCTGAGTACTGCGGTCCACGAACTATGCTGAATGTTGTAAAGTTGTGTGGTCCCCCAGCCAGTCTAGAAGGGGGGAAAAATGTGCGCGCAACGTCCTGATGAGGTTCGTGGAGTGGTGGAGGGGTGTCCGCTGCCTCTGAGCACTGCCTTGTCACACACAGTGGTTATCGGCGAAAGTTTGAGGCATTGGTGACGGGACCTGTGTCCTGGGGGTGTGTCCTTGGGCTGTGTCGACTTTCCTGCACGGTTCTGAACTACCCGGACGTGCAGCGGTTACGACCAGTGGGGGTAAGTCAAAATGGAGAAGGAGGGGGGGGGTGGTTCGGTCGATCGCATTCGCACGGGGGAGATCTACGACAAGACATACAACAACGGACGCGTTGTCAAGAACTGACACAAGCTTTTGCACCAACTTTCCAGGAGTGGCGGACGGGGCCAGGAGGGACACCTCTTCCAACCCACACGACAATCTGTCCGTGGAATCTCGATGAATATCGACCGAAGAAAAACAACTTGCTTTCAGAGAAGAGAACGGAGATCGCCTGCTACAAAACCAAGTGAAATGCAGAGAATGGGGTCACACTTCAGTGGGGTCGGAAAAAGTGGGGTCAAAATCGAACACAGGTCTGAGAATTTCCGCGACAAACGCCCAAGCCTCTAGGGCTTCGGAACAACTTGTGAGGGGGCCCGTGTAATTTCCGGAACGGCAGCGTGGGCGGCATTTTTCTTAGAACCGTCTCCCTTTCGGAACAGCAGCGTGGGTGGTATTATATGGGAGCCGTATCACTTTCGGAACGGTAGCGTGGCTGTGCCCAATCTGTGTGTTGTGTGTGTGTGATCAGCAACTTCTTCTGGAGCTGGTACCTCAGGAAGGTCGACGTGTGAAACATGACCGAACCAGAGCAGCCATTGCTGGAGGAGCTGCAGAATGAGAAAAAGCGATGCGCGCAAGAATCAGCGGGAGAGTCCATTTACCCAATATCGTACGGTTTCTGGCGCGGAATGCGGCAGCACCTGCGGCGACTTCACCTGGCCCTGGAACTCTCGCTGCAGATGCATAGAGTGCGTAGTTTTCGGAAACCGGCAGAACTCGGCACACTGCTGTGAACCCTTCTGTCCATAAGGCTACGGGTCACGCGCTCATAAGTTGTGCTGGGAGTCTACAGGGAGGAGGTTACAATGATCAGCAGACACAGCAGGAGCAGCAGCAGTGGGGTGGTCCTCTCCAGCAACGCCCGTAGCGGCAACAACAATTGTTTCGTGGGGATGGTGTTCCGCGGCGGCTGCCGTATCGACACCAATCGTATCAACGCCACCAGCTTCCGTACTTGCCTCGTGCTGCCTCACGGTGACCCTTCTACGGTAAGACGTAGTTTGGGATTGGGGGGAGTTACGACTGCGGGAAAAACGCGGGGTACCATCAGCCGGACTCGCCGCCTCAACCGAGAATGCCAGTGGGTTCAGTGCATGGTGTGGAAACATGGACACACTGCTATGCACTGTGCTACACCGAGGCAGTTTGAGGGTAAATGCTCCACGTGCGGTGAATATGGCCACATCTCCAACATTTGTGTCATGCGTGGTGATGGGGTGGCACACCAGCATGTGAACGCCGTTACGACGCCTGCGGCGACTTCCTCCCTTGTGGGGGACATGTTCACAGAGGTGGAGTTGACTTCTTATTTCGCGAGAAGAGTTCCCCACGAGTTTCCAATCGCTTCAGACTGGTCCTTCAATCTTTCTGAGGCGCCCGCATTAGCGGCTGGACCCGCGGATACGGCGAGTGGTGGTGTTTTCCCTGCTGCTTCGGCGGAGAGAATGGCTGGAGAGCCCGCGGTGGCGGCTGCAGCGGTGACATCGGCGGCGCCCCCAGCGGCGACGGCGGACGCGGCCGGTGGCGGTGTTTTCCTCGCTGCGGGGGCGGGCTGAACAGCCGGAGCGCCCGAGTTGGCGGCTGGAACGGCGGGATCGGCGCCCGTGGCACCGGCGGCCACGGCGGCAACAGAGCAGAGGTCGGTGCCCATAGTGGAGTCGCCAACACCGCTTGTGCAACAGCAGTACCACCCACCGGGATAGATGGGGATGTCGCCTTCGGGGGGCGAGCCACTGCTCGACATCCGTCAGGAAGAGGCATAACCGCGTACTGCGTGAATAGACGCCAACGCGTTGGCGGCCACTCACGTGCATCAGCGAGA